ATTATTATATAATTTGTGTGATATATGTGATTAGGCATTCGCCAGCCTCCGGCTAAATAAATTTTCCAGATAATCGTTATGCATTATTTATCGGGCACATGATCAAGTGTCAAGTCTCGTCGTATGCTGGAAATTAAATCATATGCACGATGTTTGTATACCCGAAGGGGAATCGGAGATTCGATGCTTTGCATCAACATTGCTTTGCAATAGTACACCCGAAATAGATTTAACCCTGAAATAGATCATACAATGCGATGATTATCCCGAAATAGATCATGTAACGGTAACGACGCATTATCAATCTTGATTGGTTGATTGTTGCATATATGCAACTTACCGATTACTTACATTCCCACGTTCTTTTCGCGAAAGTATACGCTATTGTCTTGAGTAGGACATCGGCTCTAGGAATAAAATCCTAACGGCTCGTCGGATAATGTTGCTTTTGTTCTTTTCCCCCGTATATTAGTTAATACACCGTTTTTCGTCTAATATTAATAATGTCGCAAGAGAAACCAGTTAAGAAGTTATCGCGTCACGCCCGTTATAATAAAAAACGTAGGTTTGAAAAAGAAAAAAATTCGACCTTACCAGCAGATAACATTAAGCTCACTCTAACAACGACAAACATTATCTTCAACCCGAACAAAGTATATAATTTCGATTTTTTTTATTTAAGCGAACGTAATTAAGCGGTTATTTTACGTGATAGAGCAACTACCTAAGTTTCTTGTTGCGAGTATACTTAGTTGATAATCCATCTTGGTATTTGTGTTGTAGAAATCGCATAATCACTATAATAGTGGCTTAATACTTGAACGAGGGTGGTTGTTCAGTCCGTAAAAAAGAGCTTATTGCCTTTTTCGCATAAATTCCAATTCGAATTATACTATGAAACATTTCTTCGCATAATACAATTTTATATATAGCATAGGACACAATTTGCGACTCGAGGGTTACGTACAAGTGATAAAATCTATTACATTGAAAAAGAATGGAAAAG